GAGTTTTCTATTTCTATTCTCTTCCTTTATAGCACATGATTCAGCCTAATTGGAGATTCTAATTTTCTTTAGTTACTGTGACCCATACTCCATCTTGAATTTTTCTGTTAAACTTATATAGCAGACCAAAGCTTATTGAGAATGTCTATGTGCGAGCCCCAATGCAGTGCACACAGAGGGATAAATATAGCTCTTTCCTTCAAAAATTGTTGGGTCAGAATTCAGTGAGGTGAATCATACTAATAACAATCGTGGGAAGCATTCATTTGAATACTAACTTTATGTTAGACATGGTCCAAGCACTTTATATGAATTATTTCATTTAATCATTATAAAAACCCTAGGAGGCAGTGCAAGATGTTAGTGTAAGTCTGACATATTGCCGGGCACAGTGGCTCACGCCTGTAATCCCAGCACTTTGGGACGCTGGGACAGGTGGATCACGAGGTCAAGAGATCAAGACCATCCTGGTCAATATGGTGAAACCCTGTCTCTACTAAAAATACAAAAACTTAGCTGGGCATGGTGGCACGTGTTTGTAATCCCAGCTACTCAGGAGGCTGAGGCAGGAGAATTGTCTGAGCCCAGGAGGCGGAGGTTGCGGTGAGCCGAGATCGTGCCATTGCACTCCAGCCTGGGTAACAAGAGCGAAACTCCATCTCAAAAAAAAAAAAAAAAAAAAAAAAAAATTACGTATTTTGTATGAAAGAGAAAGATGAATAACTTCTCTGTTATCTCAGGCAGTTAAATTCTGGCCTGACTTGCAAACTCAACTTTAGCAAAATAAAGGTAAGTGACTGAACTCATTCACTTTAGAAGACAGTTTAGATATAACCTGTTGTAACTGAACATGCCCTTTGAGGATTTCTCCCCCACCTCCTCTACACACCACTTACAGTGTTCTCTTTGGAAAAAAAAAACAAATGAGTGATTTTTTTTTCATAAATTGGACTTTTATAAATGGGTGCCCTTGTTAACTGCCCATCTTTCTCACCACCATATTCAGTTTTGAGATAGATGCTTTTTTAAATCCCCGTTTTACTGATGAGGACCTGAGGCTTGAGCAATTTGAGTAATATGCTATATTAGTTTTCTATTTCTGTGTAACAAATTATCACTAACCTGGTAATTTAAAGCTACACAGATTTATTACTTCACAACAGCTTCCCTGGGTCATGATTATGGGCACAACTTAGTTGGGTCCTCTGCTTACGTTCTTAACAATGCTGCAATTGAAGTTCAGATGGGCTGCATTCTTATATGGAGCTCAAGATCCTCTTCCAAATCCACATGGTCATTGGCAGAAGTTAGTTTCTTACAGCTGTCTGATGGATGTCCCATTTACTTACTAGCTATTGGCCAGAGACTGCTTTCTGCTCCAGAGGTTTCTCCCACTTGGCCCTCCCACAACATGGCAATTTATTTCTTCATGTCCAGCAGGAGAATCTCCAACTTTGTATGGGGTAGGGGATGAGGGAGCAGGATAAGACCTTCTTTTAAAGGGCTTACCTGATGAGATCAAGCCTACCCAGTATAGTCTCCCCTTTTATTAACTCAAAGTCAACTTATTAGGAACCTTAATTACATATGAAAAGTCTCATTTACCATAAAATGTAATATAATCACAGGATTTATATCCTGTCATATTCACAGGTCCTCCCCATACTCAAGAAGAGGAGATAATAAAGGTGTGTACACTGTGGGGTGAGAATCTTGGGAACCATCTTATAATTCTGCCTATTACGCATGCATAGTAACCCAGCAGGTAATTGACAGAGCATTGCCCTCTGAGCAAAGCATGCATTAAAATCATGAAGCTGTACTACCTCTCAAAAACATGAAACATTAACTACCTGAAAAAAAAGTTTTCTAAATTATTCCAAATACTTGATTTTGTGGATAATTTCACAATGAGTACCATTAAAGTAAGTGTAGAATGGGTTAATACCTAAAAATGGACATATGTAAATAATGTTAGGAAACAAAAATGAGACATAAAATATAGATTTGAATATATAATGATATAAAATAGTTAATTTAAATTTCTGGATCTTTTAAAAACTTAGCTGTCATTTGAAATATATATTAAAAATTCTAGTGAAAGATAGTTTACCATAGTAAGTAGCAGGTGATAAATGTTAAATATTTGTACTGACAGTAAGTACTATAGAAGTTCAGAGTAGGAGAGATTAATGTGGACTAGAGTTTTCCTTTAGATGTAAAATAAAATTAATTTTTTATGAAGTAGCTTATTAGAAATTTTGCCCAGCACTGGTTCATATTCTATTGCTTGTCATCTGTTTGGTGCACAGGATTGCATGTCTTCTTTGAAGAAGAGCCAGTCTTCTCAGATGTGATGCATTCTCATTTAAATGGAAATCCTTTAGCATTACTACAGTCATTCAATTAAAATCTTAATCACTGTAATAGCCCTCCATCTTTTATCATAGGATAAGAAACATGGTGTTGCTGTGTATCTCTGTTAGTTGATATTTTTTACCCATCAGTCCATCATTTGCAACTATTGCGAAATAAATGGGTGGGATTTTTTCCCCTTATACTAGGGATCTCATTTTTCATTCAGTTGTTTTATGTCTGTGGATAGCCATTTCAGTTTTAAATTAATTTTTTTTTTAAAAATAGGTCATAGTAGACTGAAAATACCCCCCAAATGTGACCATGTCTTAATTCCCGAATGTTACATTACATGTCACAAAGGACTTTGTAATGCAAGAGACTTTGCAGATGTGATTAAGGCTCTTGAGAGGGGGAGATTGCCTGTATTACCCAGGTAGGCCCAATAAAGTCCAAGTGGTCCTTATAAGAAGGAGCAGAAGGAATCAGAGGAAAAGGCAATGTGTGATAATGATGGAAGCAGGAGCTGGAGTGATACAGTGTGAAGACGGAGGAAGAGTCATAAAAGTGAGAAATACAGGTGGCCAAGAGAAACTAAAAAAGACAAGAAAGCTGATTCTCTCTTCAGAGCCAAAAGAACCAGCCCTGCCGACATCTTGACTTCAGCCCAGTGAAACAGATTTCAGATTTCTCACCTCCAGAATTGTAGGAGAATACGTTTGTGTTATTTTAAGCTACGAAGTTTGGCTATCTTGTTATAGCCCCAGTAGGAACCTAATACAGAAGTTGTAATATATTTGTTTACTGAAAAAGTCGTATTTCTCTTACAGCATTGAGCAAATATGCTTTCCTTAGCATGCAAATAATTGTGTGTGAAAAGTGAGATTATTTTGTAGGATATAGTTAGAAGAATAAGAATTTTCGCTTGCTTGGTTAATATAAGTGTTCAATATACAGAAGATATTTTGGATTTGTTTGAATAGAAATAGAAAATGGCAAAAAAGTAAAGTGTTAACATAAATGGGCTTTGAATGAAAGCCTGAGGGAAGAGGAAGTGATAGTGGAAGCTGTCAAGGGCACTTCAAATAACTTGCTGAGATCTGCTTAGTTTCTTTCTCTTATATTCTCTTTATCTTTCACTAAAGACTGAATCTATGTATCTAGAGTAAGTAGATCTTGAAAACACGACCTATCCACAGGTGGATTTGTTCCTTTCCAATTTGTGTTAAAGGTTATACTTTGGCTGCCCAAAAGAAATAACAGCTGCTAGGAATAACACATCTTCAAACAACCCATCTTGCTAGTTAAGTAATTGGAGTTGGAGGCCCTTTTTTGCTGTGCTCCAGATCTAAATTCAAGAGAAGTTTCTATATTCTAAAGGGCTACCCTTGGAAGAGTCTGATCGTTGGCTGGATTCATTTTCAGAAATGCACCTCAATCTGTTTAGTTTGATTAAGATTCTTTCTTACATATCAATATCTTTCATTATTTTGTTAATAACAAGTGTCCACCTTCATAAGCAAGTTGCTCATCTGCAACACATGCAACATTTACATTAAACTAGAATATTTCTGTTTAGACAACCTGGAATCTAGATATACCATTATTCTGAAATACACTATGAAGAAAAGCTGCTTAGTTGTACTAAGTCAACAATGTTCAGAGATGAACTAAGTATAACAATTCAACCTTCCTAGGCCAAGGCTAATAGTAAGGCATACGGAGATGTTCCATTATATAGACCAGTAGTTTTCAAAGTATGGCCTCAGATCAGCAACAAGAGCAAATTCTCTGACTCTGTTCCAGACAGAAAGATTTGGAAACTCTGGGGAAGAAGCTATTTTTTCATGTTGAACAAGCACCCTCCAGGTTATTCTGACCCACATTAAAGTTTGAGAATCATTGATATAGATTAAGTTTTGTTCTCACTGATAGAACAGGCTTACAGCTAAAATATTGCAAAATCTGACTCTATTGGACATGTCAGAGATAATTTGCAACTGCTTCCTTTCTGCCTGAGTTCTGTCAGACTGTAATCACTTGTATAGATTAATTGAAAAATCATTATGTTTGTAGATGAAATTAAATGTTTTGTTTTAAATAACTGTTTTTGCTTAAAATCCTACGTTGTTGAAAGTGGTTGGTTTTATATGTGTTCTGTAAAGACATTTGTAAAACCTCATCAAAGTTCTACCAGTAAGTTACATTCTATTTGGTATAAGATGAAATGTTTTACATCAAATCTCATGCTGTGTAATGGCCAAAGAGTATTTAAGGTGACTGAATGGATTCCTTGGGTCAGTATTCAAAAGTAAACATTTTAAGATGTTAACATTTAAGGCTTTTACCTCTTCTCAAAATTGATTTTATGTCACTCTCATTATTTGAAACTCCTGAAATAACCAAGAATCTTGCTTAAGCAATATGTAGCAGCACTTTATTTTTCTCGTCTTTATGTGGATTTACTGAAGTGTAGGTTGTTTGAAAATGGATGTAGCTTTGGGGCACAAGTCTGTTTAGCTGTGTGAATGCTATAATTTAATATTTAAGACAAAATAATGACTTTGGCTTGGTAAACATATATCACTGATTTCTGAAAAACCAATAGAAAGAACTTGTTTTATTTGTTCTTATTTGACAGGTAATCTTGTGGTTCTTTTTAGGTATCCAGTAGGAAAAGCACTCTCCAGTGTTCATCTGTGGAACTGGATGGTTCCTACTTGAGTGTAGCCAGACCACAAACCTGCTATCAAACCAAGCAAAGACCTAAGTCTGCAATCCAGGATTCAGCTTCAGAATCCCTTATAGGGTTTAGGAATAATTCTTTGAAACCAGTAACTCTTCGTCATCCCAAAGATGATCTAGAGAAGATACCATCAGAGACCAGAACATGTAATTATGAATCTCCAGGGAGAAAACCAGTAGAAGCAGTCCTGACAGAGAAAATGCCCCAAGAAGAATTGCAGAGAAAGGAATGTCGACACCTTAAGCCTATTCCTAGTCAGTGCTGTGGTCACAGACTTGCTGCAGATCGTGTTCATGAGAGCCACCCTACAAACACGGCCCCTCAATATCCTAAGACACATCCAGAATCATGCAGTTATTGTGGGCTTTCTTGGGCATCTCTGGTGCATGGCGAAGGGGTGCTGCAACCCAATGAAACTTTGAAAAAGCAGATCTCAGAAGAGAGAAGGCAGCAACTGATGCTTCAAAAAATGGAGCTAGAAATTGAAAAGGAGCGCCTTCAGCACCTCCTGGCCCAGCAGGAGACAAAGCTTCTTCTAAAACAGCAGCAGCTTCACCAGTCTCGACTGGATTACAATTGGTGAGTTCTGCCTGTTCCTTTAGCAATGTCTGTATTTTGGAGAACACAGTGTAAAACTGTTGTATTACAGTAGCAGATGTGTAGAACCAGAGATTCTTCAGGATCTTGGCTTGCTCAAGATGCAAATGTCTACTAAGTAAATTCCCTTGTATTCTTTGGAAGACTTCAAAGATTATCTTGTCTTCCAAATTGTTAGCTTAGAGTATCTGTTTCTGAGCAGTCTGGTGTAACTTTTGCTGGGTTCCAAAGACAGCATTTTAAAATGATATAACCTTTACACAGAATCCTTTGCTGTTTGATATTGTGGACAATATTAGGCATTAAATAAAAGCTTGAGATTTCGGAGTGAGGAATTAGATCGTGAAGCAGTGAGATTAGCTGTGATGATTCCAAAATTATTTTTACCTGCCATAATATAAAATATAACAAATGATGGCTCCGAGTCTTCTAAATTGAACCCTTTCTGGCCATGAAGGATGACCTGTTGAATGATGAATTCTCATAAACCTATCCACATTTAGGCTGTTCTTCCCTTTGCAATTCTTCCATAAGAATAGTGTTTCAAAAGCTGAATTGCTGTTTTGTTATTATATAGTGTTTTGTTTCTCCACATCCTTGCTAGCATTTGGTATTGTCATTAATTTTTATTTTACCTCTTCTAATGTGTGTATAATGACATTTCATTGCAGTCTTAATTTGCATTTAATTAATGACGAATGATGTTGAGCATCTTTTTGTGTGCTTGTTTGCCCTCCTAACTTCAGTAAATTCTCTATTCAGTATTGCCTATATTCTAATTTGATCATTTGTGTTTTGCTCTCTGTAGAGTTGCCCAGGGTGGAGTACCATGGCGTGATCTTGGCTCACTGCAACCTTTGCCTTACAGGTTCAAGTGATTTTCCTGCCTCAGGCTCCCCGAGTAGCTGGGATTACAGGCACACACTGCCATACCCGGCTAATTTTTGTTAGTAGAGACAGGGTTTCTACCATGTTGGCTAAGCTGGTCTCAAACTCCTGACCTGCCCACCTCAGCCTCCCAAAGTGCTGGGATTACAGATGTGAGCTGCCATTCTTGGCCTCAAGATGTTTTTTTTTTTTTTTTTTTTTGAGACAGAGTCTCACTCTGTTGCCAGGCTGGAGTACAGTGGTGCAATCCCCGCTCACTGCAGTCTCTACCTCCCAGGTTTAAGAGATTCTCCTGCTTCATCCTCCCAAGTACCTGGGATTACAGGCATGCACTACCACATCCAGCTAATTTTTGTATTTTTAGTAGAGATGGGGTTTCACCATGTTGGCCAGAATGGTCTCGATCTCCTGACCTCGTGATCCGCCCGACTCAGCCTCCCAAAGTACTGGGATTACAAATGTGAGCCACTGCACCCTGCCAAGACATTTGTAATTGAACACCTTTCACCTCTAGTTCTCCTGCTTACTCCCACCATGTTTTATCGTAGCTGGTGCAACCCAGAACTAGGACCATAAATCTATCCATTTAATTAATCAGTATCATAATTCATATTTCTAGGCTGAAAGTTGCCCTACTCTCTGGTCTACTTTTTAGATTTATATAATTTTATCACTTTGGAGTTATCTGAAATTCAACCTTCTGCATATTAGCATCAGATAACAAGAACATCTCAAATGAATCCTCCTAAGACATTGCTTTTCTTGTGCCACTTCTGAATTTTAAAAACCCATGATAATTTTGTATTAGGTTATGTTTATTCAAAGTAATATTTGAAGCCTTTTATAATTTGGAACAACCTCTCTACCCATTTGTCCCACTTTTTCTAAGAAATAGTTGTTGTTGTTGTTGTTGTTTTTTTCAAAAGGCAGATTTGTTTCCTTGAGATCTTCTCAGTATATCATTCATGTTTCTTTCTCAAGCCATACCTTTCCCTCTGATTTAAATATCTCTGTCCTACTTTTCCATTTATCCGCACCATGACTCTTCATTACAACACAGTCAAAATCCCACTACTTAAAATTTCTAGATTTGCTTTCCTTTTCACATAACTAATAATTGGTTATTGAATATGTCCAAAATTAGCACCTTATTGTTTAATGTGTAATGTTCGTCTGTAATTCAGTTTCATTCTCCTTGTCTGAGTACATATTTACTAAGCTCTCTACTCTGCACAAAACTTTGTGAGGAGTACTAAAATAAGCAAGACTTTATCTTGGCTCAATATAATACACATAATCTCACTCTTTAATTTTATGTAATTTTAACTTTTATATAACTTTACTGACCTTTTCATTTACATTCCCCAAGGAATTTTTTTTTTTAGGACAGCATCTCACTCTGTCACCCAGGCTGGAGTGCAGTGGTTTGATCTTGACTCACTACAACTTCTGCTGCCTGGGTTCAAGCAATTCTCCTGCCTCATCCTTTCAAGTAGCTGGGATTACAGGCACCTGCCACCACACCTGGCTACTTTTTGTATTTTTAGTAGAAATAGGATTGCACCATGTTGGCCAGGCTGATCTCAAACTCCTGACTTCAGGTGATCTACCTGCCTCAGCTTCCCAAAGTGCTGGGATTACAGGTGTGAGCCACCATGCCCAGCCCCAGGGAATTTCATTTCAACTAAATTCATGAATTACTATCTGCTATTCACAAGCTGTTGTTTATAGTGCTTAGGGTGTTCTGGAAAAATACTGGGAAGGCAATCTAATTGAATACTAAATGAGTAGCACAGAATTGTTATAGTAGTTCAGAATCTTGGGATGAGCTTGTCATTTTAGAACTAGTTTGATATGGCATTGATATTTCCTTAAATTGTAATTAATGATTCATTCTGCCACCTTGCTGCTACATGACTGCTGGTAACAACTTTTGAAAGGGTATTATCTTTGTGAGCACTTTCCAGATTGATCAGAGACGATTTACCCACAATATTATTCATGATTGTGCCAAGAACCATCTTAAATCATTTTTAGAGCAAAGTAATGTATGTATAATGAATAAAAATCAAGGCTAATTATAAATATTTACCTTTGTCTCCTACTCTAACAATATGCCTTAATACATGATTTATGCCTATGATAAAATTCAGTGTTAACGAGTGAAAAACGTGTCACCTTGAGAGAGTTATGTGCCTGGCCCTCACTTTAGTCATTTGTAAATAGATAATGGTAAAAGTAGCTATGTTATAGAGTGGTTGTGAGGATTAGTACACTAGTGCTGTAGCAGCTACTCTGACTGCTTGCTATTACTGCTACTGTTTTTTCACTTTTCTCATAATTGCCTGATTTGGGCATTTTGCATCTGCATTTACCTACCTATGTGTCACTACCAAATATTAGTCTTAAACTGTAAGTTCCTAAGGGAAATTAATCCATGTACTTGGTATATTAGTGTGCAGTTAGTTGGAATTATAAGACTGTCTTTTGATAATGATGAAAATGACAATATTGTTTTAATGTTTTTACACTTCATGGTTTGATTTCATAGTTAAAAAATATACTTTACGGATGAGGACATTTCTTAAAAGCTGAGAGAATAAGTGTCACATATTTGATACCAATGATTGACACTCAAACTCCTGGTAGAAGACCTACGTTTTTGCCAAGTTTTCAATGGCTTTCTCTCCTCAGTACATGTCAGTGTGGGGCTAAGTAAGCATTCATGGATACAGTGTCTTCCAATTCTTTTGGAAGAATTCATCTTTGGCTCAGGGAAAATATGTTGGTCAGTGAGCTGTAGCCCTAACTCTTGAAATGTCAGTATGAGAAGTGGGTACTTCCTATATAAATAAATGTGATCAGGGTCAGTGATAATTATTTACTAGACTTCACATTGAGACACTGGTGATCAAAATACACTTGCTTACAATGAATAGAGGGAATAATTAACTTTCTATGGCAGAGATTTCAAGTGCTCCTATTGAAGTATTTATAATTTTGAATTTTAAATGATATTCTAACCAACTTAATTTTCCCTACCTTTCCTATAAATAAAGGAAATTTAAGTTACTATGAAATCAATTTTTTACATATATTTAGGAATTACTCATTTATTTTTGGCAGACTGAATTTTAAGTTGAAAATAATTTCTGGGGATTGAGCTGAAAAAGCATGGTTTTCCAAAGTTTGTCATTTAGGTTCACAAGATTAAAAATTCTTAAAATTAATTTTTACAGGTTAAGAACTCAGGCTGTGTTTAAGTCAAGAGAACTGGTTCCTGAAAAAGAGCTTACTAAACCCCAAGAACTCAAACTGGATATGAATGGCAGTGACTCTGGACCAAGGTAAACCTGAAGTCTTAGTGAAAACAAGAATATTAAGGGTGTAAATATTTAGGATATGTTTGGTGTACATTTATAGCTCTATATTGATTCATACAGTTTTCTGACCATGTAAGTACATTCTTGTTAAAAAATTTTCAAAAATATAGAAAAGTATGAAAAACAAAATAAAAATCATTTATAATTCTACAACTTTGAGATAATCCTTTGAGCCCTTTTTTCCTATTTCTTTTTTTTTTTTCTTTTTTTTTGATGTGGTATTATAGTCTATATTGAGAATTAACAATTATGCTTATACAGAGTTTTATGTTACTTTTTTCACTGTATCGTATTTTCTGATTGTATTAAATACTCTATGGAAACATTAATTCATTCAACAAATATGTATTGCTTGGTAACTTTCCCCAATATTTATCTATTAGTCTGTTATCGGATAATACCAGGTTTTGCTGTTATAAATTATGCCTTGAAGAACATTTCTCTAAGTAAAATTTTTTACTTTACCTCTACCTATTTCCTAATTATAGATTCCTATAAGTGGAATTTCTAATACAAAGTATATATGAATCTTTTTATGATTCTTGATTCACGTTGGCAAATGGTTTTATGTGATTCCTGGCCTAGAGGCTAAATCTGCAACAACTAATCTGGATCTTGGGGCTAAAGATTAGACCTTGAACCTGGGTCCTGGATCCTTAGTCTGTGGAGCCAGCCCAGCACTGGGTTCTATGGGGTCAGGCCTAAATCTGCCTCAGGGTGGGACCATAAAGACTGACCTAGCATGGGACAAGCCTGGTGCCTGAGGTCAGGGATGCCAGTCTAGACTGAGGCATGGGTAAACTAGGGCCGTGTGGACTGACCTGGCTCTGGGGTAGTCTGAAGTCTGAGGCAGGCCTGGAACTTGGAATGGCAGGATCCTACCTGGTGCCAAGGCAGGTCTGCTTAAGTTTTTTTGTTTGTTGTTTGTTTTTGTTTTTGTTTTGAGACGGAATTTCACTCTTGTTGCCCAGGCTGGAGTGCAATGGCGCTATTTGGACTCACTGCAACCTCCACCTTCTGAGTTCAAGCAATTCTCAGGTCTAAATACTCAGTATGTAGTATTGGCCTGGAGTTTGGGACCAGGAAGGCCTGCCCAATACTAGGTTTTCCTGATGTAGGCCTGATATTAGCGTCTGAGGCAAAGTCTGGTTCTCACTTCCCTGTCTTCCCCACCCAAGCAGAGGATCTCTTTCTCTACTGTGTTGGCTGAGCTTGGGGAAAGGGCATGCTGCCAGTAACATAAATCCATCCTTCCTACCCTCTTCAATACATTCTTTTTGATTTTTGTGCTACAGTCAAGTGCTATAATCTCTCACCTGGTTTATATAGCTCTTATAAAGGTATTTGTAGGTGGATAGTTGTTCAAATTGATGTTTCGGATGGGGGAGATGGGAGGGACAGGGACAAGTCCTTGAAAGTCCTATTCTGCCATCTTACTGACGTTCCTCTTCCTACGAGCAGTTTTGACTGTTTTAGATGTTTCCTCTTTTATCTGTTCCTTCTAGTATTTATATCCATATTTCTGAATAACAGACTTATATAGTCATTAAGTATTGACTTTCTACTATGGAAGTTGATGATTTAGCTCTCACTGATAACTATCGATTTGCTCCCTTTTTATCTTCCCTCTGTTTGCCTTTCCTTCTTCCTTTTTCCCTCTCTTCCCTCTCTCCATATTTCTGTCTACGTATATAATATACTCCCACACATGCTATTTCCTTCCTTCTGTCCTCTCAATATATCTATATCAAAATATTTATAATAAGACTGTAAATATTTTATGCACAGCTGAACTGTGTGCTTTACTATTATTAAATTTAATTTTGTATTATTATTTTCTCTGGAGTTTAAAAATGCCTTCTTCAGCACAGGAAGACAAATACTGTGTGATCTATTTTAGATGTAGACTCTAAAAAGGTTGAATCAGTGGTTTCCAAGGCCTGGGGGGTTTGGGGAGTTGGGGATGGGGCTGGGGGCGGAATAGGAAGATACTGCTCAAAGACTGCAAAGTTTCAGTGAGGATGAATATGTTCTGGAGGTCTGTTATATAGCATGGTGACTATGGCAAATAATAATGTATCATATAATTGAATATTGCTAAGAGAGTACATATTAAATGTTAACACCACAAAAAATATAAGTATGTGAGGTGATGGATTTGTTAACTAGCTTGATTTAATCAGTTTGTGATGAAAATATACAATATATCAAAACATCACGTTGCATACAATAAATATATACAGTGTTTACCAGTTAAAATTTACAAGATCCTTCCTGGAGACTTCCATAAAATCCTGCTCTAGTGTGAACTTAATTATTCTCTAGGCATTTTGTCTAGTGATTTCATTGAAATTTTCTTACCTATCATTGTTGAAATTTTCTTTATTTCTTTTCTATCTTATATTCCTTTTTCCTAGGTCACATGCTATCCTCTTTTTGGTTTATACCCTTTCATCTTACTAAAACATGCCCTGCAGTAGCTTACTGTAGGAGTACAGAGGCAGTAATTTTTTTGTGTTACACCTTTGAAAAATGTCTTTAGTCAATCTTCACATTTAATTTATAGTTGAGCTTTATACAGCATTCTCAGTTAGTAGTTAGTTTTCTTCAGAAGGGATTGAAGGTTGTGTTCTATTACCTTCTAGTTTCTGGTTTTATCATTAAGAAGTGCATTGCAGTCTGATTCTTGATTTTTTTTATGTGACTTATTCCCCATCACAATTATTAGGACTTGTCTTTCTCTAAAGTTCTTCTAAAAATTAATGCTGATGTGCATAAGTTACACCTTTTTTCATTCATACAGAATCTTTTAATCGAGAAACTGCCTTCACTTTAGAGAAATTTTATATTGTCTCTTTCAAGAACTCATCTCACCCAGATGTTGACTTAGAATCGACTCTCATTTTCTTACTTTTCTCTCCTATATTTCATATTCCTCCTTTTCTTTTTCTTTCTTTTTTTTTTTTTTTTTTTTTGAGACAGGGTTTTACTCTGTTGCCCCGGCTAAAAGTGAGCAGCACAATCATGGCTCATTGCATCCTTGATTTCCTGAGCTAAATGGTCCTGCCCACTCAACCTCCCAGGTAGCTGGGACTGCAAGTACATGCCACTACACCCAACTAATTTTTTTTTTCTTGTAGAGATGGGTTTTGCCATGTTGCCCGGACTCATCTCAAACTCCTGAGCTCAAGTGACCCAACTGCCTCAACCTTCCAAAGAACTGGGATTATAGGCATGAGCTGCTGCACCCAGCCTTGTAATTTTTAATCTCTAAAAATATCTTATGCTTACAAAGGCCATTTTTTAATAACCCATTCTCATTTTATATATGCAATGTAGTCTTCTTATCTCTGAGACTATTTATAATAATTTTTATCTCTTCCTGGTGAATTGTGTCTATTTTCACCAAGTTAAAATTGCTTTTTTCCACAAATGGATCATTAGTGATCCACCCATATTGTGAAGCAAAACAATAAAAAATTATGAAAAGCTCTCGGTATATTATGAGCAGAGCTTGTCAGCTAATGGAGTTCACCATGATCAGGTAGGCACGTTGGGAACTCTTATTACTATCCATAGGTTTTCTTCTCTTGGGATGATCAGTTTCCCTAGGGATAAATCTCTTGCTGGTGTGAGAATAAAGGATAGAGGCATTGTACAAGTCTCACTGCCACTGTGGGGAGCCCAGGGGAGTAAAAAAATGGGCTCATCACTTGTTACGTAGGCTTTCACTTAATCTCCCTTTTAACTGTATGGATTTCTGCCCTCAATGTATTTAACGCCCCGAGTTCAGGGTTATTCTTTTTCAGCCTCTCCTAGGGGTTAAACCTCCAGTCATCATCATACAGTGGGAACAGATGGAGGAGGATATGTTGGCTTTTCTCTGCGATAGAGACTTCAAATCAGGTGTGCTTTTAGTATCATCTGCATTTCTACCTGCTTCCTCCAGTCCCTGAGCCTTTCAGGAGTTCTCTGACATGTTTCAGCTTACAGTACCTCCCAACCACAGCTAGCAGATATTTCAGTTTTGACTTTTCTACTTGGCTAGCTGAGTTTCAACTCATACATCTGCTTTCCAGCCTTCTAAAATTCTGTAATATCTCTTCTCTGTTGTGCTCACCTCACTTTGCAACCTCATAGGGTTTCATAACATTTTTATTCTTTTAATAATATTATTTTTCAGTGGTTTTAGAAGAGAATAGAGATTTGTATTCAATCAGTCATGTAAATTGGCTCTCCAGTGTTTATTTGTATACTTAAACCATATTTGGCAATTCAGTAGGCAGAAAGATGGAATCTTGTAATTCGCAGTTACTCTGTATTCAATTAGGATGGACATTTTTCTGTGTTTATTAATGCTTTGTGTTTCTTGTGGAATTTTCATTTCCTTCCTATGTTCATATTTTTTATGTAGGGACATTATAGTTCTTCTTTAGTTGATAGGGAAGAACTTATTATGTATTTTTTAATTTAAACTTTTTTGGAAGAAGAAAATATTTGTTATTTGATTAGTTTGGCTCTAGCTATATATACATTTTTTTTAAATTTTACTTTAGGTTCTGGGGTACATGTGCAGATCATGCAGTATTGTGGCATAGGTTTATACATGGCAATGTGGTTTGCTGCCTCCATCCCCCTGCCACCTGTACCTGGGATTTCTTTCCATGTTATCTCTCCTCAACCTCCCCACCCACTGCTATCCCTCCCCTAGGCTCCACAAAAGACCCCAGTGTGTGATGCTTTCCTCCCTGTGTCCATGTGTTCTTATTGTTCAACATCTACCTATGAGTGAGAACATGCAGTGTTTGGTTTTCTGTTCTTGTGTCAGTTTGCTCAGAATGATGGTTGCCAGATTCATCTGTGTCACTAAAAAGGACACAAATTCATTGTTGTTTTTTATGGCTGCATAGTATTCCATGGTGTATATGTGCCACAGTTTCCTTGTCCAGTCTATCATTGATGGG